AAGCAAACATGACTGTACATTGTATTTGAAAGCAATACACTTATTTTCCCACCAATTTTTGGAGGGGGGGGGGGTAAGAATCTTTTTGGTGGTGGTGGTGGGTTTTTTGTTCCGTTGTAATTGATTTGTTGTTGGGGTTTTCTTGGGGGGGGGGGGGGTGTTTGGTTGGGTCGTCTGTTGGGTTTTTTGTTTGTTTGTTCGGGTTTGTTTTTGGTTTGTTGTTTGTTTGTTTTTTGTTGTTGTTTTTTGTTTCTTTTTATTTATTTTGGGAGGGGGGGGGGCATAGGCACGTACAGCATTTCATAAAATTTTCACTTCATGCATAATATTTGCGGGACAGATTAAAATGACCTGACATAATTATAATATTTAATAATATAAAGATGAGTGAGCAAAGAGTGAAAACATGAAAACTTACAGCACATATTGATTCATCTTTGCACTCTTTCAAACGGAAGACCAGACTACAACATAAGAAAAGAAACTAAAACAGATGTTTTGAAAAACTAAATGAAGGAAAAAAAAGATGTGTTTCCATTTAATAATTTAATTTCTTCGAACAATTTTATTTCAGATCTGGATATGCGCTTACGGACTGCTCAACTGTACGCGTGCGCACCGTCTTTGGGTTGCTGTTGGATTTTGTTGTTGTTGTTTTTCGTTGCCGGTTTTTGTTCTGTTTTGTTTTTTTGGGAGGGGGGGTTGCTTTTGTTTATTGTTTTTTTTGTTTGGGTTGTTTGGGTTTTTTTTTACAAACGTTGTGAGAGAGAGACTAGGAGACTAAGAGTGTGGGTGCATGTGTGATGTGTGTGTGTGTGTGTGTGAGTGTGTGAGAGAGAGAGTGTGTGTGTGTGTGTGTGTGTGTGTGTGTGTGTGAGTGTGTGTGTGTGAGTGTGTGTGTGTGAGTGTGCGTGCGTGTGTGTGTGTGTGTGTGTGTGTGTGTGTGCGTGCGTGTGTGTGTGTGTGCGTGCGTGCGTGCGTGCGTGCGTGCGTGCCTGTGTGTGTTTACGTGTGTTTGTGTGAGAGATTGACGGCAAAAGATTAACAGCACCATTAACACAATGAGGAGGCGGACTGCTTTGACTTTGCCTGTCATGGCCAACCCTGGTCGAGAGGGATACAACACCCTAGGAAACAGAGACAATCCATAGAATAATGCACAAAAGACTCCAGTATGCGTTGAATTTATGTTTGTGCGCGCGCTCGTGCGTGCGTGTTGGGGGGAGGGGGGGCGCAGTGTTGGGGGGAGGGGGGGCGCAGACATGGCTGCGAGTTCCAGTACGTTGGTTAACGCGTGTTCGTATGTGTGATCTGTGTGTTAGTGTGAGTGTGAGTGTGTGTGTGTGTGTGTGTGTGTGTGTGTGTGTGTGTGTGTGTGTGTGTGTGTGTGTGTGTGTGTGTGTGTGTGTGTGTGTGTGTATGTCTGTCTGTCTGTCTGTCAGTCTGTCTGTGAGCGTTGGTGTGAATGTGTATATGCGCGTGTGCCATAAAGAGGATGCGAATAATACAATTTACACTTGTGATTTTTAAGCACTTTAATTTCATGCCAGCAAGGTAATCTAAGGGGAATAATCACAAGAATTCAAGGAATTCACAGGATTTAAACTTATCTAAAGTTATCCACTCACTTTTTAATATTACCACAACAGAAGTTTCAAAATGCTCACAGTGATGAATACAATGAATTTCGTTTTCAACAACTTACTCTATAAACATTCTCAAGACAGCTGTAACAATTTGCTAATAGATACTGAATATCAATTGAAAATAGTCTACTTTTAAGTTAAATCGTTAAGGCTGCAGATTGTGGAAAGAACAAAATGTCACAGGAGAGAATAATGAATTTTCTTTCATGTTCTGACAACATTCTCAAAAAAGCTACAAACATAACAAACAACACTAGACCATTATCTTCAAGGGACCATCTGTACAGCATACTTTCAAAACATAATTTTGAAGTGACATTCCAATATATATATATATATATATATATATATATATATATATATATATATATATATATATTTATAT